CCGCCTACAAACACCGCCTCTTCACCTCACGAAGGATTTATTTTCCCCCGCCTCCCCCCCGTTCTTCTTCCCCAAACACACAACCTCAATACGTTCCCCACTTCTTACCCACGCGCCGAGCGCAGCTACACGCTCTCTCATTCCCGCGCACTCGCGCCTGGCCTGCCTGTTCGCCCCGTCTGCTTTTACCTGTCCCGACCCCGACGTCTCGGCGGCGCCATCCGTACGACGTGAAACATTACATTGGAGTCTCAATTACCCTTCCCTCCCTCCCTCCTCCCTCCCTCACTCTAGGAGGCTCGCAATGCAGAGGAAGAACGCCAGCCGGCGGGTCGGCGATGACTATGCTAGCGACGCGCCAGACGACGGTGCCTTTGACATGGCAGAGCGCTAATCGACTCTTCCTCGCTGACGTGTCAGTTCGCTAATCGCCTCTTCCTTGCTGACGTGTCAGATGACGCTGACGTGGCAGAACTGGAAACCACGTGGCCGATTTTTCAAGTGGTTCACGCGGCAGATTGGCAAGTGCCCCCCTTGCTAACGTGGAGATTGACAATGATGCCCTTGCTAATCAACTCTTCCTTGCTGACCTGGCAGATGACAGTGACGTGGCAGAACGTCGTTAATCGTCTCTCTCCTTCGGCGTTCCTCCCCTCCTCCCCACCTCCCCACTCCCCTCTTTCCTGTTGGTATCAACACTTGGGATATCAACACACTTGAGATGGCATTGACACTTGGGCGCAACTCGATTGCTTTTTCCCAAACCCGCGTACGAGATCCGTTCGCTGAAAACGAAACCAGGAAGGACCGCGGCGAGAGAGAGAAAGAGAGAGAGAGAGAGAGAGAGAGAGAGAGGAGAGAGAGGAGAGCGCAAAGAGTTAATAGGAGGGAGAAACGACGGAGAGCCAGAGAGAGTGTAGAGACAGAGGTTAAGCAGAGAGAGGAGACGACACACACACACACACACACACACACACACACCACACACACACACACACACACACAGAGAACAGACACAAGGCCAGACACAGACACAGACACAGATGCGCCCCTGTTCCCTCGTCTCTACAGAACCACGTTATGCGTCCGGATGAGTGTGTACATAATCGCTGATGCTGACGTGTCAATCAGTCAGAAAACAGGATCGTTCGCTCCCCTCGGGAGTACCGACAGCAAAAGAAGACACCGAGCTCCGCACCCCATAGAGAATGGCGCGCAGTGAGAAGGCCCGACAGCTATCGAGTCCCTTTTCCGCCGAGATGACCCTTGACCCGACCTCCTACCTCCCCACGGGATGGCTGGTCGCCTCCTTCCGATCCCGATCGTGCCCTTCGTGGCAACCCGCCCTCCACTCCCTCGGCAACGCCCTCCTCTGACAAGAAAGGGGGGCGGCATCGGGACTCCCACCCCCCTCCGCCCACCACGCGCACGTGCACCCCACACGCTGCCGTGCCTCTCACCCCTGTCGCCTGCCTTCCGCCTTTCCCCTCCTCCTCCTCCTCCTCCCCCCTCCTTCCCCCTCCCTCCTTCTCTACCACTCACTCCTCCCTCTCTCATTCCCTCTCCATCCCCTCTGACTACTCCGCGATGGGCTGAATGGAGGACGCGCAGACGCCCCCCCCCTCTCCCCGCTCCCCTCTCCCCCTCCCCTGGCGGACTGCCGTACACTACCGGTAGCAAATGATGATCCGGCAATTCCGACGGCCGCTGGTCCAGCCCGTTGATTTCCTTCCCACGACCAGTCAATTAGTCCCGCAGTCCTCTCCCTCCCTCCCTCCCTTGCCTATCAACCCAACCCATCCACACTTCCTCCCGCTTTTCCTGTACGGATAGCAGCACACTCCCAACCCCGCCACTACCATCACTCTCCCTTCCTCCCCCCCGCTACGACTCTAGCTAGCATGTCCTCCTTCACCCCCCGCTTGCTACGGCGCTACCTCCCAGTTGCTGCCACCTCCTCCTCCCACGCCATTCACCCTTCTCGAGCCCTCTACGCGCAGACAGACAGACCGACGGACGGACGACTCGCCGTGGACCATGCCTCCGCAATACGGAATGCCAGGTTCCTGTTCCCCGTTCCAATGCCACCAAAACCCCGAGTACTCAAAATGGGGGGGACAATAACCGAAATCCATCCGGGGGCGTCTCTGCACCAGCCACCCACCCCAACCATCCTCCCTGCCAGACCGTAAGACCGGCAGACAGAGGAGGGCCAGGCAGACGGGCAGGCCCCAGATAAGCGGGATGGATGCCAGGAGGGCAAAGGGGGGCGAAGGTATTGCCCTGGAAATCAGGGCCAGGGCCTACTGCTAGGTCCGAGAGAACACGACTCGCCGTTGAAAGCGGACAAAGGGGATGCACATGTTGCCCCCCCCCCTATGTGAGAGGTAGCTATGCTTGGGGCCAAGTCCCACTAGCAGCGTTGAGTCCGCTGTATAAACTGAGTGGTGGTCTGTATAGGGAGTGAAAAATGAATTAGTTTTGAAGAAAAGAAAGCGAACAAAGGGGGACTGCACTTTTCTCGATTTAGAGCATGCTCGCACTACAGTAGCACTTTCCGAAACGAATCTGACCGCGGTTGCGGTCAGATGCGGATGGTGAAAAGAAAGAAAGTGAACAGAAGGGGACTGCACTTTTCTGGAATTAGAGCATACTCGCACTACAGTGGCACTTTCTAAAATGGATCTCACCGCAAATAGGGCCATATATATCCGGATGAATCTGACAGCAATCACGTCCAGAGCTTGAGTACTCTACCATCCTTGAAAACCCAGGGGCCATGCAAATCTTTTCTGCATATCCGGCGGCCTACGGTAGTTCAGTTGGTCAGGCACGCAAGTGGCATTCAGGAGGTCATGGGTTCAATCCCTTCAGGTACCTTTGTGGGCATCCTCGACTCCCACCACCTAGAGATAGTGCGTTGGTCCCCCATCGGCACTGAGCAGAGTCTGCTGATCTTCGCAGGGGTAGGAGACCGGAGGGGAGGCACATAGACTGGCCTGTCGAACAAGCTCGGTCCTGATGCTCCCCGATGACCCCTGGCCAGTATCGCCCACCTGCAGGTCGGGCACAGCCCCCACATGTTCCCTCGTTGGAGGCTTGAACACGGGCTGGCTGCTACAGGTTTATAATTCGCAGCCCTAAGGCTGCGGCATAGTAGGCTTCTGTGTTCGCAGCCCGTCAGGGTTGCGTTTTATGCCCCTGAGACATTTTTCGTCGTCGTTGGTTATACCGGTCGTTCATTCGGGCCCATTGGTCGTTGAAAGGCTGGTAAAATGAAAGGCACGGGCATTTACGGGGGGGGCGGCAGTTCAAGCAAATGCAGGACTGGTATTTGCCTGTGGCATTTTCCTGGGAACCGGTAGGTGGCCGTGGTCCAAAATATTTTGAAACGGCGTGGGGGCCGCAAGTCCTTGAAATTCAAATATGAAACGGCGTGGACCCAAGCCTACAGCCTCATGCCCAGCCCAGCCACTTCGGCCCAATCGGCCTAGTCACTGTTCTGGATGATTTTGTCTGAATCTGGAAGCAGTTATGAGCCAGATTCAGAAACAGAGATGTTCTCTCTCTCTCTCTCTCTCTCTCTCTCTCTCTCTCTCTCTCTCTCTC